TATTGGGCCCCGTGCTGGCACGGGGTCCTATATCTAAGTATATATAGAGTCATTAGTCAGTGTCAAAACTTGAAAATATAAAATAATATTCCCAAATTTCTTAATCAAATTAGCCAATTAGGCAAGTAAATTATGAGGAGTAAAGGACCCACTTCTGAACTCGTTTAATTTGGACCCACTACATGTGACTTGTGAGTCATGTGTATCAAAGTGAATTTAATTTCTTTTTATTTCTAAAATTTTATAATTTAGTTTTTTTTATATCTTTTCCAGAACCACATGTCATTGAAAATTCGAGATATTCTGATTAATTGATTTCATTTTGTTAGAAACCACAAGATTTTCTCATAAAGGTCATAATGTGTTGGCTTTCAATTTTTTTGTCTCCTTCCCTAGTAACAAAATTCCAAATTAGTGGAAAATAGATCTGAACTCCAGTTTGAATTTATTAACCAAAAAAGTAGATTTGCCTTCTTCCATTAATTATAAAACACTAATCAAATCAATTACTTTTTTTTTCCTTTCATAAAATGGCAAAATTTTGTTTTCCAACTATACAAGACAAAGTTAACATTTCAATTTTATGGGTTCTGAAATTTATGATAACGATTTTAAGTGATAATAATTAAGTTTTAAATTTAATATTAGTATATTTATAATGAATTTAGTAATATAAATATACGGCTCAACAACAATCATTAACTCATTAAGTGAAGTTAAAAAGAAGCCGAAGCAAGACTCAATGATTTACCTATCGGCTAATAAATTTGAAATGACACGAATTACCCGTAGATGAAACTCAACACTTCTCTTCTATACTATCTCAGATCTAGAGGTGTCAAATGGGCGGGTTGGGTTGAAATTGAAGATATTAAAATGGATTGAAATAGAAATCGGGTTGGGTCTTAATCCGCCCAAGTTTACTTTGGGCTTAAATGAGTTGGGTTCAAATGGGTTAAAAAATAGGTTGGGTCTTGACCCACCCAATTAGACCCGATTAATTTCAATAATTTTAACATAGTGATATTTAACTTTTATAATCACAATTCGAATTTCAGCTCAATTTTTTTTAAAAAAATAGTAACAAATGGATAGATAAATCCTAAAAGATGTTAAATAGATAATAATTCATACCTTTAATATAGGAACATATTTTAGTAAGAAGTTTTAAAACGGGTTGAAATTGGAGATTGAATTGGGTCAATTGAGGATTCTCTTAAAAATGGGTTAGGCTTGAATGAGTTGAGATTGAACCCAATTCAAATTATCTTGAGCCCAACCCATAAAATTCTGGGCAGATTAGGCGGGTTACCTATGTTTGGATTCATTTTTGACACCCCTACTCAGATCTATTGAATTCTGGCGAATATGTATATAGGCTACTAGCTCCGCCTCCGCAATTTTCTATGTTTCCTTGTCAAGACTTTTATTGGTCAACCAACTAAAACTCCAGCGCCGGTCTCCAAGTTTAGTATGCAACTAAATTGTGCAATATAGACCTAACTACAATTGTATGAAAAAAAAACAAAAACAAAGGATAGAGATTAGGTACGTAAATCCTGCATTGACTGACTGGTATAGTTTAGAGTTTGTTGAAACTTGTAGTATAAGAATGAAAGCACCCATAACAAAGTCATTATATATATTTTAATTTTTTTATTTATTACCATGTGGAATATATACACCCAAAATGAAAATTATAATAATTAAAATTCAGTAAACTGTAGCAATCAATGAAGACCGAACTATTAAGTCAGAGTATTTTTAACATATTAAATAATAATAGGGATATTTTTAGACCAAATTATTAACTAGGCATAATATATAAACATTACCCTTAACTTGATTTCAACAGACAACTATGCCCTCCAACTTTGAGTGTACACAAGTACACTTAAACTTTTATAAAATTGAACAAGTAGACACATGTACCCTACATGACATAATACATGTAGGACGCCACGTATGACACAAAATCACTATGTAGGGTGTTATGTAGGACGAATGTGTCTATTTGTTCAGTTTTATACAAGTTTAACTGCTTACTTGTGCACACCTAAAGTTAAAGGCCATTGTTGCCAGTTGATGTAAAGTTAAAGGTCGTGTATAGTACATTTTTATTCAATTTACCATAGTTTAAAGACATTTTTGACAATTTTCTCTATATTACTCTTTCTATCAATAGATCATGTATTGGTACAAAGATCCAATGTGAATTACATGGTTCTTTTGTAATGAGAATTTTCTCTTCCCAGATCCCTGTGATGATGCCGGAAAATACGTACTACACTTTAAAAGTTTATTCTCCCTTTTCTTTTTCTTCCTTTTGAAAAAAATAAATAAAAAGAAAAGTCATTTTGCCACATGGGTCACAAAATAGCTCATCTGTACACACCCTCGTGGCCAACGGTCCATTCTTCTTTATTTCCTTTATACTTACTTTATATAAATGAATCTTACCAATTTATACAACAAGAACCATTGTATTTTGTATACAAGCTACCATTTTTCTATTTTATTAATTAATGTACTACTTACTATATACTATCCTTCTTATACATTCTTTACCTTACCACTCTAATGATCACAATAATGAAAGTTCAACTTGAAAAATCAAATAGCTTAGATTCTTCTTCTTCATCCTCGTCCTCATCCTCCTTTAACGAGGGCAACATTAACACAAAGATCCTAAAAGAGTACGAATCGAATAAAGTTGAAGAATTCAATAGGGACGACAATGAGAACAAGAGGAGGAAAAAAGTTATTCAGGACGATCATGATGACAAGCATCCAACCTATAGAGGAGTTCGTAAGAGGAATTGGGGAAAATGGGTGTCAGAAATCCGAGAGCCAAGGAAGAAATCAAGAATATGGTTAGGAACTTATTTGACAGCTGAAATGGCTGCTCGAGCTCATGATGTTGCGGCTTTAGCCATTAAAGGTCACTCGGCTTACCTTAATTTCCCTTATTTAGCTGATCAACTCCCACGTCCAACTTCTAATTACCCTAAGGACATTCAAATCGCGGCTGCAAAAGCCGCTGCCACCTCATTCAGCGGAAATAAAGCTGAGTCGAGCCACATCAAGCTGCATAGTTCATCTTCGTCCACAGAGACATTCATAACTTCTCCATTGACTGATAAAGACGATACTTTTTTCAATTTACCAGATCTTTCCATCAATAAAGTGGATCAAATTGACAGTTATTGTTATCCGATTTCGACTTGGCACCTTCCTGGAACCGATGTTGGATTCTGGCCCGAGGAGCCATTTTTATGGCAAAGCTAAAAAGGTACAAGTCAATCAGGTGCACTAAGCTTCTGCTAAAATCAAGGGTCTCGAAGCGAGACCAAGCTTCATGCAAGTCTCATCATAGGAAAATTAAGAATTTTTTTGTACACAGGTTCATATTACCGTTAATTTGAGTTTGTTTTAATTTTATTCATTTCTTGCTCTCAATTCATTTTTTTGTTTGTTTGTTGTGGGTAAGAAACACGATATAATATATTAATAGGAAATAAACCTGATATATTCCTCAACTTTGCCATTTAGAGCTATATATCCCTCATTATGAAAGTGGTTTATATATACCTCTAGTGTTATACACTCACATCCCTACCCTTACAAAATAAGTTCACATATATAGATATACCCTTCATTCAACGAAAGTGAAAAAATAGTTTAAAACAAATTTGACCATCAAAATAATAAATTTAATTTAGTCGTTAAACCAAAAAAAAAATGTGTGAGGAGAATTAAATATATCCATATGGGATTATATATATATATTTTAAAATAATTAAAAATAAATTTGAATTAATTTTTTCACTTTCGTTAAAAGAAAAGAGTATATGTGAGCCGTTTATATAACGGTAAGGACATATACGCGCCACTTTTATAACGAGAGACATATCAACTCCAAATGACAAAATTGAGAGATATATCACACCTTTTCCCTATATTAATTACCTCATTAAAAAGAAAAAAATAGTCTATTGGTAATTTGGTATAAACCAAATCAAAAGAGAAGAACTTCATAGTTTGTCCGTAAATTTTTATGTGCTTAAGATAAATTGACCGAATGCAGATTTTTTTTTCTTTTGGGAAGATTTGAGGGTATTTTTATGGAAAAATTAGCTGATTAGTCAAGATTCCTAACTTATTTATTGAAAATAATTATATATTAAAAATATTATTAAAAGAAGACAATATTTTAATCGTATGAAAATTAAGTGTATTTTAATCTAGTTTTAAAATTATATCAATTGAATCCCACGTTTTCGGAACAAATTAACTATCCATTCTCTCTCTCATCTAATTCCATCATTCCATTCCCTCCACGATTCTTCCAAACCTTCTTTCTCCAGCTTCTCTCTCTAAAATATTGCATGATTTTTTCCCTCAAAAATTAGCAAAATCCCATCATTCCATTCCCTCCATGCTTCTTCTGAAACTTCTTTTTCCCACTTCTCTCTCTAAAATATTGCACGATATTTTCTTCAAAAATTGACAAAATCTTCATAGAGATTGATACGCTCAAATTACACCTCCCTAGAAGTATAAGCGATCGTTATCAAGTAAAGAATCCAACTTGTAGGTTGGGATCGATCCCACAAGGAAAATGGTTTAGACTTTACTTTAACCAACAATTATATTCAATTAGCCAAAATACTTCCAGAAACAAGTAATAAAAAAGGGGGGATTTGTGAAACAAATTGTAAGAATTCAGTGAGTAATCAGTAAACTAAAGTCAATTTCGGTTGTTATCAAGATGAGAAAATTAACTAGGGTATACGTGTTCACCACAAGCTCATAACTCAGTAATC